GATGTTCAGCCTGAACCTACTCTCAGTCAACTTATGGCTGTTATTCCTAGTTACACCTGGTAGTGCTCAGGGGAACAGGGTCTCTCCCATTCCCTGCCGGTCCCCCTTGGTAAGTTTATAGACGGCCACCAGATCCCCTCTCAATCTTCTTTTGTGAAGGGTGAACAGGTTCAGGTCCCGTAGCCTCTCCTCATAGGGCCTGCCCTGCTGCCTCCTGATCATGCAAGTGGCCCTCCTCTAGACCCTCTCAATGCTGTCCACATCCCTCCTGAAGTGCAGTGCCCAGAACTGGATGCAGTACTCCAACTGCGGCCTAACCAGTGTTGCATAGAAGGGGAGGACCACCTCCTTGGACCTGCTCATGATGCATCTGTGGATGCATGACAAGGTGCAGTTGGCCCTACTGACCATGTCCTCACATTGGTGGCCCATGTTCATCTAGGAATCAACAATGACTCCAAGGTCCTTTTCTGCCTCTGTGCTGACGAGAAGGGAGTTCCCCAGCCTGTAGGTATGCTACTGGTTCTTCCTCCCCAGGTGCAGTACCTTGCACTTGTCAGTACTGAAGCCCATCCTATTCTCATCCGTCCACCCTTGTAACCTGTCCAGGTCTGATTGCAGCCTATTCCTTCTAGCGTGCCCACTTTTCCCCACATCTTAGTGTCATCCACAAACTTGAACATGGTGCTTTTCACCCTCTCGTCCAAGTCACTGATGAAGATGTTGAACAGTGTGGGCCCAAGGACCGAGCCCTGGGGAACCCCACTGCCCACATCCCTCTGCCCCCAGTAAAGTGGAAGAATCACTTCTTTGGTTTTGCTTGAGATGCATCAGTTGATGCATGCCAGAGTAGTTTGCACTGTTGGCTACAGCGTTGCATTGATGGCTCATATTTATACTATGGTCTATTATTACCCCTAGGACCCTTTCTGTCATGGTGCTAGTCACTTTGGCACCACCGAGCCTTTAAGTATGTTGGGGATTATTCATCCCCAGATGGAGCACTTTTACACTTCTCAGTGTTGAACTTCATCTGGCTCTGACCCGTCCAACTTCCCAGCCTGTCTAGGTCCACCTGTATCTGCAGCCTATCTTCAAACGTGACCACACTTTCCCATAACTTGGTGTCATCTGCGAAATTTTCCAGTGAGTTCTTTACCCCCATATCCAAATCTTTGATAAAGATGTTGAAAAGCACTGGACCAAGCACCAGGCACCATTGGCCACTTTTTGGCAGGGCGACACAGATCCATTCATTAGAACTCTCTGGGTCCTACCCTGCAGCCAGCTTCTTACCCACCTAACTGTCAAGCAGTTAAGCCCCAAGTAGGGTGAGGATGGAGCCCAGGAGCCTGGGACAGTGGACCTTGGGTGGAGGGGCCCAGCCAGAGCAAAGTGGCCAAGGCCAGGAGACCAAAGCCTTGAAGAGGATCTAAGGCATGAACTGAAACCCTCCTGATCTCTAGGGGTAGACTCCCAGAACAACGATAACATCAAGGCATGGCAACTGAGGTGGCAAGGTGGACCCCCTGAGAGGTCAAACTGGTTAAGGGAATGGGAGGATCCAGGTAGCTGTTACGGGGGTTGGGAAAACATTGCTTAGACCCACTACATTTATAGCATCCAGTGATCAGCCAATATGATATGACAGCAAAAAAAGGAAAAAACAAAGACAGAGAAGTCTTAATGCCATTGTTTAAAGACCTGGCAACAAATCATCTGGTATACTCGGTAGAGATTTCACCATAGACTGGAGCAAGTGCTGAGAAGAGCTACTCAGATGACCAAGGGAATGAACAGCCTATTTTATGAGGGGAGACTATAAGACTGATTAACTTGACAAAATTCAGACTGAGCGGGGATATGGCTACGAATAAATTTAGTCTGGAAATAAAAAGCAGGCTTCTAACCATCAGAAATGTGATACTCTGGAACACTTCAGAGACAAATACTTCAGAAATAAATGGCAAGAACAAAGATATTTGTTCTTGTGCATCTTAAGGGTTATTTGTAACAGACTGTGATAAAACAACAAAGTCAATAAACTGTGAACAAATGATCTGAAAAAGTATTAAAGTATATAATGGTTGTAAAATATGTAATGGCTGCCTATGCTGTAAATACTTGGAACCATGGAATCGTGTGTGTGTGTGTGTGTGTATATACACACACACACACACAGAGTACAGAATATTGAACATTAAGGATGCTAACCAAGTAGAAAAAATAATTGTAACAATCACGTTTGAAATATATATCTTTGAATCATATACATCCTTGAATGAGGAGAAGGCTATGGACAAATGGTAGTTGGGGCTTGCTGGTAAACTTACAGTATTTTAAAAATATACCCCCAAATAAAAGATTCATCTTTACAATTGATTAAATATTTTTAAAGGGTACAATGGCATTTATGATGCTCAATTAAATTTCAGTTTATTCACATAGAGCTAATGTTTTATTCCTTTGCGTATAAATGCACTGAATTGATACCCGGAATAAAGGTAAAGTCTAAAAAAACTCTTCACAAGATAATATGCATTATATACTGTATTTTCTTGCATATAACACCCAACTTTTTTTCCTGCAAAACAGGTGGAAATTGTAGCACTCTAGGGCTGTGCTAAATTTCACTGACTGTTTCGTTTCGACGTTGTTTTGATTTGTTTCAAGCTTGAAACAGCAAAATCAAAATGAAACAAAAGGCTTGAAAAACAGCCTTGAAACAAAATGAGGACAGTCGAAACTTTTAAAAACTTTTGAAACATTTTGAGTTTCAAAGTTGAAGCTGGGCTTGCCTGCAGGGAAACAGAAAGTAAGGAGAGGCAGGGGATAGAGGAGGGAAGGACTACTCTGATATTGACTGTGTAGCTAGCCAGTGACTGAGATCCTTCCATGAGGTCCATTCCAATCCCAGTGCTCTGGGGCCCCAGTGCCAGTGAGGGTGCGCCTTAACAGGCACAAAGTCACACACGTCGTGAGTTTTGCTTGTCAGCAGCTTGAGGTGCAGTATCCCAGAAACCCCTGCACCTATTTCCTGACAGGCTTTGTGGCCTCAGCAGGAGCTAGGCTCCCTGCTGTTTTCATTCGAACCAGGCAAGAAATGACAAAGTTTTAAGCAGTTTCGTGATTCCCCATTATAGCCTATGGGCGAAACATCAAAATGTGTCGAAACAGTGAAACAATTTCAACGAAATGAAATGGAACAGTGAAAGGTTTTGATCACAGCATTGTTTTTGTCAAACCAGTCTTGAAGGCATTAGGTAATAAAGCCAATTGATTCTGTGCAATCTTTATGGATGGTTTGTTTTTTTTAGAGCTTGCCAATCTTCCTCAACACAAGTGTTATCATTTTCAATCCTAAAACTGTCAACTAGCCATTAAGAAGTAATCAATGTATAAGGTTAGTACGTGGCTTCTTGGGGGCTGAAATCTTTTCATACTAATTTGTGTTCAAGAAATGTAAACATATATTGTATCACAGTGAAATAAGTGGAACAGGTTTTAGTAAAAGCCACTGGTGTCTCTTGTGTTGGCAGCCAAATTTTTCCTGATGCTTTGTCACATTAAACTTCCTCAGGGAGCTTTTAAGTGATAAGCAAGTTCTTAAATAACAATGTACCTTAAATAAATACAGTAAAAGCCCTGTTATCCAGCATGCCCCATGAATGGGGGATGCCAGATAACAAAATATGCCCGTTAATGGAGTGGCCTGGGCCGCTGCTTCTCTCGCCAAGTCTGGGGCATCCTGCCGCCCCTCCTGCGGGCTCCATGGGACAGGGAGGCGAGCCCCACACAGTCTGTTATGCCCCCAGGCCGTGGGGGCTCGGCAGCATAGGCTGCTTTGTCCTGGGCTGTGGGGGGTCAGAGAAACCGAAAGTGCAAAGGTGGGCACTTCCGGTTTCACTTTATCTTACAAGCTGGCATGCTGGTTAATTGAGCATGCTGGCTTGTAGGATGCCAGTTAACAGAATTTTACTGTAATATGAGATAAACAGAGAATTTCCATACAACTTTGGAATTTATCTGGCTTTCTCATACATTCAAACAATGACAACTTACTCTACTCTCATCTTTACTTCCTAGTGGCCGTATCTACATGAGATGCTGACTCTGCAGTAGCTCTTTACTACTTCACAGTAGCATTGCGTGGTATGAAGCAGGACACAATGTTACTGAGTAGTAGTAATGAGCTACTGTGTAGGCTGCATCACCTAAAAGCCATTTGGCAACACAACTGTGCAGTATTTGGTTACTGCGCAGTTATTTATTGTCTATACAAGTACTAAATGACTTCACAGTAGCAACTACGCAGTCAGTGTCTCATGTAGATGTGGCCAGTAGGAAGAACTTGAACCAAAGAAATGAAATGCAATTATCAGTTTATGCAGCCAACCCCCCTGCCACTGATAATGTGATATTCTTTGTCTTTACTAGTTTGAATCCAGTAAAAAAAAATAAAGTTAAAAACTTTGATTTTCCTACTGAATTCTCCAGGTGCAACAAAGAGGTTGCAAGATCAATAATTAATGTATATCAATATGACAATATTTAAAAAGACCTCAGAAAATCTACCCAACACCAGAACTAATGCCAGCACATCATCCATCTGTCTCTACTTAGTTTCATGCCTCAATGAAAGCTTAGATAGACAGATGAATCGCACTGTACTGAAGTTCATGAAATGTTTAATGGACAAAAATGGGAGGAGAGGAGAAAATAAGTTCCCAAACTGAAACCTATCACCAAAAATGATCTATCACCAGGTCCCTGCCATTTAAACCTGGGGGGCCATTAGTTCAGAACATCACAACTGCTGCTTCTAAAAGAGGGAAAGGCAGTTTCTTCAGTAGCTAGGACTCAAAACATTTAGGACTTCATAGGTCAAACAAAATCTATAGTTATCACCTGACCACTCTGTAACATGTTGGGCATTTATAGCTTGAAGGGTAAAAAATTTCAGCACAAACTTGATTAAAAAGTAATTTCCTTTTACTCACAAGGGGCTCTGCCATGATGATGCGAATCTTGCGCTCAGCCTGTGTTGTAAAATTAACAAACAAGCTCTTCAGGACATATTCGCCTGGTTTACTGTCTGGGTCAACATTGATGGGCAACATGGCTGGAGGTCCCTTTTCCCTTTGTGTGCCAGAAACGGGTGGAACTGTTGGTTTGATGTATCCGTTACCAACTGGAGAAGCTGAAATGGATAAGAAACAAATTCATTTTCACAAATCCTATATCCCTTGATTTTTTTCTCAATAGTATTCTAACACAGTGGTTCTAGACCTTTTTTATACCAGGACCCATTTGTAAACTTTGATGGCCAATTCTGACCCAGTACCCCTCACTCCCAACCCACTGCCTCCCAGGCCCCAGCCCCTCAGTGTGTGGGGCAGGAGGTGGGTGTGTGGGGCAGGAAGGGCCCCGAAGCAGCCTCTTGCAGGCTGGAACTCTGACAGCTTGCAAGGGAAAAGACACAGTTTCCCATGTTTTTCTCCATTTTTAAAGTCTGTTGATCCAAGTTTAAAGTTTGTTCGCAACCCTTTCATATATTCTTGTAATGTGGTTTTTGGTTGTGACCCACAGGTTGAAAAAAACTGTCTAACATATTATCTTAACAGTAAAACAAAGCAAGAGCTTAGTTGATCACTGAAAACTATAAAACTATATATTAAGGAAATAAGTTACATAAACTGAGCAGGGTTATACTAGTCTTGTGGTTTTTGGTGGTTCCAAACCCATATATTAGTTTTGGGATTCCCAAACTGTATGATCTACATTAGTATATGGAACCAGAGATGAAATCTATTATCTTGTGGTTGGGTAGAGCCAAGTCTGCATGTTCTGCCCTATACTGTCTTTGACATGGTGAGGCTTGCTATCATTCAGGACTTTTACTGACACTCAGCTCTCTCATCCCATGCAAGATTTCTATATAGTTCAGTTGTTAATTGTTCATTTTATTCTTTATTGTTATGCAAAAGGCTTGGCTCTCATAGATGCCAAGAGCATAGCTTTTTAGTTACGAATGTAAAATAGAAGGCCTGATTCTCCTCTCACTGATTCTGATTCAACTCAGGAATAAATCCACTGAAGCCAATGGAGCTTTGCCAGTGTAAACCCTACAGAAAAAAAACCTCAGACCCAAAATATTTTCTCTGGCCATCAGAAAAATCTAGTATTGTATCAGTTTGCCTGAGAACAAAAACATGTTGTTGTATTAGCATTATTTACCAACCCATAATAAGCAAGACAATATGCATTGCATTCAGCTCTGCTCCTGTTTCTTATGACAAAGCAGAACTGGAATAAAAACAAATGCTCAGACTTGCCTATCTATGCATGGAATTCCTAAATTACAGTTCCCAGGCGCTGAGCTGCAAGTGGCATAACCTTTATTGACAAAAAGCAACACATTTGATTTGTAGGATGCTGCTGGCTGCATCTTCTAACCACTCATTTCACCAGCTGATCTAAAAAGTAGTGCTAATCAACAACACTGGAAGAAGTTCAGCTGCCTCCCCTCCTGTAATTCAGATGCTATAACACCTATGAGCAGCTGTGTAGGTGGTGCAGAGAGATTTGAAATAAAATATCAAGTGACAGAAAATGTGCAAGGCTGATAATGTTTCTCAGTCTTGCTGCATTCTAAAGAGAAGTTACTAAAAAAAATACATGCCTGCCTTTTGTGTTCATTTTGTCAGGCTCCAAAAAAGGCAGAAAGAAGATAGGAGTTCAGATGTAGACTTTTCAGATAACCAGTGATGTGTACTGCACATCTAAGATTAGAATTTGGCCTCCAGCATTATATAGCATATGCTCTTCTGGGATACATTTGCATTATTTCTCCTGAAATGACTTTTAAATATTAATCAACTGAATTTATCAGAAGAACAAATGAGATTTGATATGCTGCCAATGCATTTTAACATCTTATTTCTGCAAGGTTCTTATCACCCTTAACCCTCAATGACTTCAGTAGCATATGACTTGGCAGAATTAGGCCCAAAATTCTTACACTGAAGTGCATAGAAATGTATTGCAGAGCAGGAAACAGTCTTACTTTAAATATTTGATTTTGCAAAAGACTGTTACAGGATATAAACATTAAAGAAGTAAACTCCCTGTTTTGTATATGTCAGAACAGCTGTTGCACTTAAGGGGATGTCACCCATTCAATTCATACTGCACTCCACTAAGAATGAGTCCCTTAATCAACAAAATATGAGATCATACTCTAACACAGCAATCACTGATTCTTTTTTCATCCAGTTTTAATTCTCATAAAACTTAATTTGATTGCTTAGTATTCCATTATAATAACTGAGCTATGCTGGGAACATGATATCGTCCTTATAACAAATCATACCTAGAGCTCTTTTACATTTATATTCTTCAAGACTAAAAGGAGGTGCACATCATATACTTCAGTTATTCTAAACTACAACAAACCTCAAGTTCATGAAAAAGTAAACAAATGGTCATAAAAATATAAACACAATCCCTCTCTTGCCATCATTTAGGACTGAGCAAAGAATAAGGAATAATGAGATACAAAGAAATATAGATTATCAAGTCTATCAGAGCTGGATCTGAAAAAAAGAACCTGGGTACCTAATGTACCAATTGAACGCAGCCCTCTAAATCCTGCTTAAGTGAATGATTTTACAAAACCTATTTAGGCCCACCAATTTCTGCTACTGTACCTGGCCTGAGGTGCATCTGTCTAGCTGAGCTATAAATTCAGGGGAACATCTCAGGGCTAAGACAATTTGGGGTTCATAAACTGTGCATTCTTGTGCCGAAGTGCTTCAAGGAGCTCTGTTGAGAACATGCCTTATGAAATAACAGGAATCTGTTCTGCACAAAACAGAGCAACAATAGCTACTTTCACTCAAACACATAGCCGGAACAGAAGTAGGTGTTGGTTGCCATCTTATCTAGCAGCATACTAGTTGAAGCATGTATTAAGGAGCTGCAAGACCTAGGTCCAATGCTCTCTTCTGCTGAGCAGCTGATGGAGTACAATCCCATATCTTCAGCCTCACAAAGAAGTGCTGTAACCAGCAGGCCAGAGGCAAGCCTGCAATGTAAGTATTTTCCACCCATCTCACTGAAGTTGTGTCACTGCGTAGAAAGGAATCCAAGATCCATATAGCCAGAGAGAAAGTAAGGAAGCATGAATATAATTATGCAGCTGAGTGATGAGGAGGCAGGACATCTGGGCTCTACTCCCAGTTCCCAGGGCTTCTTATATGTTTTGCATTAAAGAGACATTTGATAAAATGCATGGAGCCAAGATCTCCCATTTCCTGGGCAAGTGCTATAGTTAGCAGTCTATTACACTGATTCTCTACCAGGATGCTGCAGCACTTTGGGTTGCCATGAGAACCTTTTAAAGGTGCCACACAATATTAACACTATTAGAAACACCAATGTATAAACTTCATTCAACACCCCCCCAGTGTGTATGCATTATGATACAGTCTATAATTACATGATCACATACTATTCCATTAAGAATACACATATATGAATACAATATACATATAAGCACATCATAGAAAACCCAACAAGGAACCTGATAATTCTGTAGAAGAATGGATGTAGTGTAGTTAACAGTACAGAGGGACACATTTAATAGAGATAAAACAAAATACCATCTAGTTGCTCATTCTGTCAGCACTTTCCATATTGTGCCCTAATGAGTGAGCATGTATCTACAGACTATACCATAATACATAAATGCAAGGGGGAGCAAATTAAAGTTGTGTGGGCAACCCTACTTCTGGCATTTCATAGAGTTTATGGCTAGAAGAGATCATCAGATAATCCATTCTGACTTTTATATCAAAGGCCATTATTTTTCTTCCAGATACTCTATATTAAAGCTCAAAGACTTAAGCTGGAACAAAATGTTTCAGCCTTTAGGAGGCTAACATCATTGCCCTGGGCAGAGAATAGGAGAGACTAAGGAACCAACAATGTTTGATGGAACTGATGGCATAGACAATATAAATAAAATGTTTTGTATATTGTATGCAGGTGTGTAGGTTGTAGCTGAAGAGCACACACCAACTTCTGAAACTTCCTCAGCCTGATGAAGGGTTTTTGAACCAAAAACCTTGCTTAAAAATTGTTTTCCAACTATTTAAGTTGGTCTAATAAAAGATATCAGATTCACCCAAAGAACCTTGTCTGCCCTTGTATATTGTATGGTATTGTATATTGTACTGAGTATATTGTATTGCATAGACAATCTAAATATATTTAGATCTAAACTATCAGTTTCATAAATAAGAGTGAGTGCTTGCACAGATTTTCACAGGGCAGTTGCTTTATATATGTGTGTAAAAATATATATATAAATAAATAAATATATATTGCTGTCTGAAAATCTATGCAATCACTTACTTGTATTGGGCCAATCTCAAAATCTGTCTAAAGCTTTGAGCACAATTCTGCTCCAGTTTTGTTTGAGACCATTTCATTTAGCAAACAGTGTTTCTTGGCATCTTGAGTTTTTTCTAAAGTTTTGCTATTCCTACAACAAGATGTACTTATAAACACTAATCCTTCCCTATCAGATGAATTATAACAGTACTGCATTTTTCTTTAAGTTAAAACCTTTGTAGAACTTTGTATTGCAACTTCCAATAATGTAGAAGTTGCAACATGATATCTGCAAAACCATATGATTCCATGTTATTACTGAAAGATGGATGTCTTTGTTAATGCACCTGCTATGCTAACACTGCAAAATCATTTCAGGTGGGAGATCACCTGCTTTTCTAATATGATAAATAATTACTTACAGTAACAGTTCTTGAAAATAACAGTAGTTTTAATTCATATCTGGGCATTAATATAATAATCAGGGACAGATAGAATATTAAACTATCATGCCATTTCTGTATTATTTTGGTAGATTCCCCATGCCAAGATCAAGCAAAAATTAGAAACATGCATGTTATGCATACAATAAAATTTTGCATCACTGTACAAAATCAAAAGACTTCAGGGAACAACTTAAGCAAAAGACTGTTAGTGATCTTTCCATTATCCTCATCTAGAAAATGACTCTGTGATAGTCTTTATAAATGTCAAATTCAAAATCTAACAAAAACAGAGTAATGAGAGATACTAAACACATATTCCAGATGTTTTTATACCTACTGAGCTCCTTTATGAAGCTGG